GAGGGGAGGGGAGGGGGAGGAGAGTAAGGAGAGGAGGAGAGGAGGAGGAGGAGAGTAGGAGGAGGGGAGGAGCTTGCGCGTGGCAACTGACGAGGGGTGCCGAAGGGGTACCCCTTTCCAGTGCTCTCGGGGCGCGGGGCGGTAGGGCGGTGACTTGGGACCACTCCGGGACCGATCCTGGGAGTGCATGTGGGGCCCCCGTCTCCCCCCATCTCGCCCCCCGCTCATTCGCCCTCCTGCTTCTCCTCCTCCTCCTCCTCATCTCTCCTCCTCCTCCTCCTCCTCCTCATACTCCTCCTCCTCCTCCATCTCCTCCTCCTCCTTGTCCTCCTCCATCTCCTCCTCCTGCTTCTCCTCCTCCTCCTGCTCCTCCTCCTCATCCTCTTTCTCATCCATCTCCTCCTCCTCCTCCTCCTCATCTATCTCCTCCTCCTCCTCATCCTCCTCCACTGGTCAACCATCGAAGATACCTTCAAGAGGAGGGAGGCATAGGAGGCGGCTGGGCGTCCTTAACTGGTTGGGGCCCCAGACACTTCATCAGGAGGTGGGATGAAGCCAAATGTGCTTAAAATCCGTCCTGGCACCCCTCCCGGGGTGCCGCTGGTGTGATTTCCCCCCGGATCCGTTTTTGACGGCCCCGGGAGTCCCGAAAACGCCCCCAGAGGCCGAAAGGGACAGAGCATCTCCCCGAACCCAGCGCCTCGAACCTGCCCGCCCTTCCTGCTGGCCGGAACCAGTGCTGGGCCACCTCAGACCCCCAGACTGCTCCAAGGGAGGGCAGCAGAGAGGAGGAGAAGAGAGGACGGAGGAGAAAGGAGGAGGCGGCGGACAAGAAGGAGGTGTAAGACCCGCGCCAGCTCAGCCAGGGCACTGAATTTGAGCGGGTCTCAAACTCAGCACCCGCTGCTGCGCTGGCACGGCGACAGGGTTTGCCGCGGGCAGCAGGATATGGCTCGCTGGGGGCCCATCAGGGTCTCGGGCCCGTTTTGGGCGCGATGATTCTACCGAGCTCTCCCGAGGAGGGTCAGCTGAACCATCCTGGGGACGCCTGGGCGGGTCTTAGGGCCGTCTTGGAGCCCTCTTGGGGGTGGTTATCGGGCAGTCTTGGGGCTGTCTTGGGGCGCTCTTGTGCCCGTTTTGGGCCGTCTTGAGGCCTCCTTGAGACTCCTTGAAGCTTGTCTCAGGAGATTTGAAGTCGAACAGCTCAGAAGCATGCCAATATGCGGTTGGCACCGTTTTTGTTCGCACGTGTTTGGGTCACCTTCTCCTCGGTGGAGGCCTCTTTCGGTGTCTCTTGGAGGCTTCATGCGATCTCTTAGGACTTCTTGGGCCATCTTGGGGACATCTTGAATCCTCCGGGGCGTCTATGGGATGTTCTACGCTGGTATAGGGGGGCTGTCGGGCCAAGCCTTGAGGCAGTCTTGGCGCGTTCGCGGGGCGGCGAGGGGGGGGGGGGAGGGCGTCTCTGGCATATTCGCGCAAGGAGGGGAGGGGGGGGGAGGCAGCTCGGCCCCTCAGACGCCACGGAAAACCTACCAGATAGCCATGCCCCACTGTCGTGCAGGCGCTGCGGGCGGACTGCCCCCCTTCCAGAGTCAGCCCGAGAGGCGCGAAATGGAGGAGGACGCGGCTATGTTCAAGCAGCTGGGGTGCTGGTGCGGCTCCAACCTGCAGAGCAAGAGGGAGGCCGTCGACGCAGCCCAGGCGGCACTCTCCAGCCTCAACGCGACCATCGAGTCCTCTGCCGCGAAGGCCTCCGAGCTGGAGCAGAGCATTGCCCAGCTTGGGGAGGAGATGGCCGCCAGCAAGAAGACGCTTGCAGAGGCCGCCGCCATGCGACAGAAGGAGTCGGCGCAGTTCCACAGCATGGAGGTCGACGCCATTCAGAACATAGAGGCCCTGAAGGCAGCCATCGTCGTGCTCGGCAAGCACCACGGCGAGGGTCCCACGCAGCTGCAGCTGCCGTCGCTGCTGGCGGTGAAGCAGAAGGCCACGGATCGCACGTGGGCTCTCTCTCTGGAGGACGGCTGGGACCAGGGCGAGACCCTGGTCATCCAGCGTGCGCTGAAGGCCGCCGCTTCGTTCGCCCAGGCGAGGCACTCCGAGGAGGAGCTCGCGTCCTACGCGCCGCGGAGTGGGGAGATCCTGGGCCTGCTGAAGCAGCTCAAGGACGAGATGTCCACCTCCTTGAACGAGAGCCAGGCTGAGGAGATGACCAGGCTGAATACCTTCGAGGATCTGCGTGCTTCCAAGCAGTCCGAGATTGAGGCCCTGTATCAGCAGGTACAGCAGAAGCAGGACCGGCTGGCCCAGGCGACCAACGACCACGCGGAGGCCAAGGAGGACTACCACCAGACAGAGGAGGCGCTGGACGAGGACACGCGCTTCCTTCTAAACCTGGAGGCCACTTGTAAGGACGGGGAGAAGAGCTTCGAGGCCAGGAAGACGGCCCGTATGAAGGATTACGGGGAAGGAAAGGGGCAGACTCAGTCAGCATTTTCGGTCCATTTTGCCCTCGCGGATGGGCGGCAGGGAGGGGGGCGGCGGTGGGGGAAAGGAAACCCTGACCAGACCAAAAAGGAAGGGGCCTCCCAGGGTTCGGGATTTGCCCTTACAGGAAAAGCTTTAGCCAAGTCCAGACCACCACCGCCTCCTTGGACTGGTCTTGGTTCCTCTCCTCTTGCCCCTCCTCTGAATTCTGTTAGTTGCAACTCCTGGCAGGTCAATCTGCGAAGGGCACGGGGCTCGGGCGTTCTGCGATTCGGCGGCGGGGGGGTGATGACTGGAGTGTGGGTGTGTGTGCGTCGTCGGAGCAGTCGCCCTCTGCCCAGCCGCCGACGCAAAAAGTGTGTGTGTGTGTATATGTGGGGGGAATCGTGGCTGGGGCCCTGACATCATGGGTGGGGCCATGATCACAGCGGGGCCATGATATCACGGCCAGGGCCATGGCAACTTGGGTGGGGCCGATCAATGGGCGCGCTTCAGAGAGGGCCTCGCCTGCGAGGGCCGAGGCAGTTGCCAGCTCTTCCTCGGCGGAAGGCGGCGGCGTGCCGCAGAAAATGAGGCGAAAGTAAAGGATGCGCCCCCTAGAGATGGGCAGCGCTTTTGGGTGCAGGGTCTCGGGAGCCCGCCGAACGGGGGGGCGGGGGGCGGGATAGAGGGCTGCAGGACGAGGGGCCCCGAGGGGGCCCAAGAGTAGCCTCTCAGGGGCCCCGAGGGTGCACGAGAGGAGCGCCTTTCTTCACCCCTCCTCCTCATCTTCCTCCTCCTCCTCCTCCTCCTGGATTCCCCGTTCGATCCTTCTCCTTCTTCCTCTCCTGCTCTCCTGCCCGCTCCCTGCGCGCCTTCCTTTCGGGGGCCCCAAACCAGTGTGGTGACCACACCGCGTGGCGAGTCAGCGGGGATTCGGGGTCGCCGCACGGCTTTGGGACGTGCGTTCTCCGAGGACGTCTCGGGAGACCGGTGCCTCCGGTGCCCCGAAGCCGTGCGGTGGCGGACCGTGCGGTGAGGTCGCTGGGGATTCCGAGTTCACCACACGGTCTGTCACCTCGCGGTCGCCGCTGTCCGCAACGTCGTTGTTGCCGACGTCGGTTCAAGCGACGGCGACGTCGCCACCATCAGCGTCGGCATCACGACGACGTCGACGACGTCGGCGTCGGCGTCGCGACGTCGGCGTCGGCGTCGTCGTCGTCGTCGTCGTCGTCGTCGTCGTCGTCGTCGTCGTCGTGGTCGTCGTCGTCGTCGTCGTCCGTCGTCCGTCGTCCGTCGTCCGTCGTGGACCGTCGTCCGTCGTCCGTCGTCCGTCCGTCGTCGTCCGTCGTCGTCGTCGTCGTCGTCGTCGTTCGTCGTTTGTCGTCCGTCGTCCGCTGTCGTCGTCGTCGTCGTCGTCGTCGTCGTCGTCGTCCGTCGTCGCTGTCAGACGCCGGACGACGAAGGACGCCGGACGACGAAGGACGCCGGACGACGAAGGACGCCGGACGACGAAGGACCGACGACGGACGACGACGCCGATGACGGACGCCGGAAGACGGACGACGGACGACGACGACGACGGACGACGACGACCACGACGACGACGACGACGACGACGACGACGACGACGGACGACGTCGACGACAACGGACGACGGACGACGGACGACGGTCCACGACGGATGACGGACGACGGACGACGACGACGACAACGACAGACAACGACGACGACGACGACGACGGACGACGGACGACTGACGACTGACGAAGACTGCGATGACGGCGACGACAACGACGATGAGGACGACGATGGACGACGCACAACGGTCGACGGACGACGGACAACGGAGGACGGACGAAGACGACGATGACGGACGACGACGACGACGACGACGGACGACGGACGACGGACGACGACGACGACGGACGACGGACGACGACGTGGACGGACAACGGATGACGGTCGACGACCACGATGACGACGACGACGACGACGACGGGCGACGACGGACGACGGGCGACGACGGCCGACGGACGACTACGACGACGGACGACGGACGACGGACGACGACGATGACGCACAAAGGACGACGGACGGCGGAAGACGGACGACGGCCGACGGCCGACGGCCGACGGACGACGACGACGACGACGGACGACTGTCCACGACGGTCCACAACGGTCCACGACGGTCCACGACGGACGACGGACGACAAACGACAAACGAGTAACGACTGACGACGGAGTACGGACGACGACGTCGACGGCGATCGACGGACGACGGACGTCGCACGTCGGACGGACGGGACGACGAACGACCTCGGACGACGGACGACGGACGACGGTTGACGACGACGACGACGGACGACGGACGACGGACGACGGGCCACGGGTGACGACGACGACGACGATGGACGACGGACGACGACGACGACGGACGACTGACGACGAAGGACGACGGACCACGGACGAAGGTCGACGACGCTGACGTCGGACGACGGACGGACGACGGACGACGGACGACAGACGACGGACGACGGACGACGACGACGACGACGGCGACGACGACGACGGGCGACGGACGACGGACGACGGACGACGGACGACAGACGACGATGACGACGACGGACGTCGGACGACGGGTGACGGACGACGGATTTCGACGACGGACGGCGGACGACGGACGACGAAGGACGACGAAGGACGATGGACGACGGACGGCCGACGGCGGACGACGGTCGTCGGACGACGGACGACGGATCACGACGTCGACGACGATGGACGACGGACGAAAGACGACGGCGACCAAGACGACGACGATGACGACGACGAACAACTGACGACGGACGAAGGACGATGGACGACGGACGACGTACGACGCGCGTTCACGATGGCGACGACGACGACGGTCGACGGACGACGGACGACGGACGACAGACGATGATGCCGATTATGACGGCGATGAACGACTCAGACGACAACGTCCACGATGGACAATTGACGATGGACAACGGACGACGGACTACGACGGACTTGATAACGGACGACGAGCGATCACGGCGACGACGGCGGATGACGGACGATGGTCGATTGTCGACGGTGGCGACGACGACTTCGACGACGACTGACGACGGAAAGCAGACGACGGACGACCGATGACGACGACGACGACGGCGACGTCGACGACGACGGACGACGACGACGACCACGATGACGGACGATTGATGACGGACGACGGACGACAGACCACTGATGACGACGGCGGCGACGACGACGACAGCGGACGACGGACGACGGACGATGAAGGACGACGGACGACTGACGAAGTCCGACACAGGACGACTACGACAGCGACAACGACGATGACGACGACGACGGACGACGGACGACGGACGAACGAAGACGAACGAAGGACGACAACGACGACGGACGACGGGCGACGGACGACGGACGACGACCGACGACGGACGACGGACGAAGGACGACGGACGACGACGACGATGGACGACGGACGACGGACGACGGACGACGGACGACAGGCGGCGGCGAGGACGACGACGATGAAGATGAAGACGACGACGACGATGACGACGACGACGGACGACGGATGACCGACGACGGACGACGACGACGACGGACGACGGACGACGACCGACGACGGACGACGGACGAAGGACGACGGACGACGACGAAGATGGACGACGGTCGACGGACGATGGACGACGGACGACAGGCGGCGGCGAGGACGACGACGATGAAGACGACGACGTGACGACGACGACGGAAGACGGATGGCCGACGACGGACGATGACGACGACGACGACGACGACGACGACGACGATGACGACGACGACGACGACGACGACGACGGACGGCGGACGGCGGACGACGGACGGACGACTGCGACGACAATGACGATGACGACGAAGGACGACGGACGACGGACGACGGTCAACAGTTGACGATGATGGCGAAAAAACGAGGGGAATGACGGACGACGGTCGACGAACGACGCCGAGGAGGTGCTGCTGCTGCTGACGACGACGACGACGACGACGACGGTCGACGACGACTACGACGCGACGCGTCGGCCGGGGGCATGGCGCGGGTGTCGGCTTTCTGAGAGGGCTAGCGGGTTTCTCGGGAGAGGTTGGCCCCCAGGCTTTTGTTCACAGGAGGAAAAGGTACTCCAGATTTCGTAATAAAGGGAGGGGGGTCTCATTTCGGCCCGAGGCTCTCTTGCAGGCTATTCCAGGCTCTTCCAGGCTATCTTGGAGGGCCTGGGGGGTCTGGGGACGATGTTTTGGAGGGTTCTCCCACGGGGGAGGTCTGAAATGGCTTGTCTTGGAGGGTCCAGACCCCCTCCCTTTTATTGCGAAATCTGGAGTACCGACACCGCTGCCCTTCCCTCTTTTTCGCCATTCTGTGGTCCTCTGGGAGGCCCTCGTCGCCAAAGCTGGATTCGGAGTCTTGCTCAGAACGCACCCTTGGAGAAGTCCGCGGAGTAGCGGTATCGGTACCTTTTGGTTCCCCCTAGGAGGGCATCTCGGGAGGGGCTGGCCCCCAAGCTTCCGTTGGAGTGGGCGGCTTGGCGGTTGGTGCGATGTGGGTTGCTGCTGTCTGCTTCCGCTGGGTTGAAGCTACCCAATCAGGCCTGCGCAGCCACCACTCCGTAATCTGCATGGTGGTTGGCCGGTTACGCAGGCGGTCCGCACAGGACCCCCCGTCCCCCTGACCACCACTTGGGATTTCGGAGTGACGGTCAGGGCCTTTGGTTTCATATCTTGATCCTCCGACCCTCCAGACTGTTGATGCAGACTGGCTCAAATGCCAACGCCCCCGCCACAGTTTCGGAAGTCCGACTTCCCGGAAGGCTGCGTCCTACAGTGACGTTGGGCTCAGTTGGGGGACTCTGGCTGTCGGGCCGAGGCTCGCCGCGGCCAGGAGCGCCCCTTCGCCCCTGACTCGGCACCTCTTCCTGCTGGCAGGGGGGGCGGCGGAAGGCGAGGGGGCCTCCCCGGAGGGGGCTGGCCCCTCCTCGGTGCCCTCGGGCCAGGCTTCTGCTGGACGGCGGGAGGGCTCCTCAGAGGCGGGGTGCCTCTCGCTCGCCCCGCCTGCCCCTCTGGCACGCCTCCAGGCCTCCAGCCCCTGCTTTCGCCGGGGGGGGGGGGCTGCAAGAGATCGACCGCGGGCTCTGGAGGTCTCCGGGGGCCCCCCTGGGCCTCTGGAGGTTCTTGGAGGCCTTCGGAGGCCCGGAGGCCTCAAGAGGCCCCGAAGGTGGCCGCAAGGTTGCGAGAACCTCCTCGGCCCTTGACCCCCTGGTGCCACTCAGGAGATCGAGGCGGTCTCCGACACCATCGCCATCCTCACCTCGGACGAGTCGCAGGAGCCGTGCTAGTCCACTCTAAGCGACTGGCGGGGCCAACGGGCAATGCAGACGCTGGTGAGGTCAAACGATGGCCAGAACAGGCGGGATGGTCGTCTCGGCGCGGCGGCAGCGCGGGCGCGAGCGCTCAATAACGGATCTGTTGCGAGACAGTTCGCCTGGGGAAGTGATGGGTCGATTCTCCACCACCACTACTATAGGCAGGACGGAGGGCAAGGGAGGATGTGGAGGTCCTCCTCCTCTTCCTTCTCCTCCTACCTATGCTACTCCAGATTTCGTAATAAAGGGAGGGGGGTCTCATTTCGGGGGGGGGTCTCTTCCAGGCTATCTTGGAGGGCCTGGGGGGGTCTGGGGACGATGTTTTGCAGGGTTCTCCCACGGGGGAGGTCTGAAATGGCTTGTCTTGGAGGGTCCAGACCCCCTCCCTTTTCTTACGAAATCTGGAGTAGTGGTGGTGGAAAATCGGCCCGTCAGGAAGGGGTCGAGACCTCTGGGGCCCACGGGCTGAAGCAATCAGTCTGCAGCGGAGCACCTGATTAAGAGGAGGAGGAGGAGGCGGAGGAGGAGGAGGAGGAGGAGGAGGAGGAGGAGGAAGAGGCGGAGGGGATGCGGAGGAGGAGGAGGAGGAGGAGGAGAGGAGGGAGGAGGAAGGAGGAGGAGGAGGAGGAGGAGGAGGAGGAGGAGGAGGAGGAGGAGGAGGAGGAGGGGGAGCAGCGAGGCCATCGTTCCTTGACCAACCTGCCGGACAGCTTGCCCCAGTCTCGTGAGCACGCTTGTCCCTCCAGCGCGAACAGGCCAGCTGCCCATGCTTCTGTGAAGCATCTTGTGTGGCAAGCCGGCCCAGGCTTCTGACTTCGACTACCTGATGGATCACGCTGTCGGCTGTATCGGAGGTCTTGGGTCGAAGGCCCCAGCTCCTGGAGACCGCCGGCGGCGGTCGACCGTTCCACAGCGAGCCCTCCGGGCGAGTGACAGACGCCAGAGCTCACGCCGTGCTCTGAGCGCGGCGTCTCGAAGCGCTCGATCCGGTCCTTCGCAATAGATTCACGCCGTGGTTTTTGTGTAGGACCCTGGGCCAGCCCCCCCTCCCCCCCGCCCCCCTCGCGCGCCCCCGCGCGCGCGGGGAGCGGGCTGGGAGGGGGGGGGAGGGGAGGGAGGAGCAGGAGGCGGAGGATGATGCTGCTGCTGCTGATGCTGATGCATGGTGGTGATGATGGTGATGATGCTGGTGATGACCACGACGACGACAACGATGATGATGATGATGATGATGATGATGATGATGATGATGATGATGATGATGATGATGATGATGATGACGATGATGATGATTATGATGATGATGATGATGATGATGACGATGATGATGATGATGATGATGATGATGATGACGATGATGATGATGATGCTGCTGCTGATGATGCTGAAGATGATGATGCTGAAGATGATGATGCTGCTGATGATGATGACGATGGTGATGATGACTATGATGATGCTGATGATGATGCTGAAGATGATGATGCTGCTGATGATGATGATGACGATGGTGATGATGACTATGATGATGCTGATGATGATGCTGCTGATGATGACGATTATGATGATGCTGATGATGAGGATGATGATGATGAGAAGAGGAATAACAATAATCATGATCATAAAAAGAAGACGAAGAAGAATAAGGGGGATGAGGAGGAGGAGGGAGCCAAACTCAGAAAAGCTAGCCGTACGTATTTTTTCCAGGGTGCCAGAGGGCTGGCCATGGTGGCGGGGCGACCGCGGCGCAGGAGGCGATGGCGCACACGTTCGGCTCCGGCGCCTCCTTCGTCCAGGTGGCCTCGGTCGTCGTCGTCGTCGTCGTCGTCGTCGTCGCTGTCGTCGCTCGAAGAAGAACTCATCCCCGTAACCATAACTTTCGACGGCCCGTGCGGACCGTCGAAAGTTTATGCGTATGCGTTTTTTCCTTCCTCTAGTCGCCCTCCAGGTCGTCGCCTTCAGGTCGTCGCCCTCCAGATCTTCGTCGGAGTCGTGGTCGTGGTGGAGGTGGTCCTCGTCTGCGTCGCCGTCGTAGGAAGGGGAGGAGGATGGAGGACGAGGGACGAAGGACAAAGGAGGGAAGAGGAAAAGCGAGGAGGAGCAAGGAGCGGGGGGTGGAAGGAGGGAGGGGAGGGAGGGGGGAATGAGGATGAGGGGGAGGAGTCTTCGTCCTGATCCCTTCACATCTCCCTGGTGCTTATGTCGTCCTCCCCATCCTTCCCCATTTTAGTCCCCCTTCTCGTATCCTTCCCCATCTTTCCCCATCCTTATCCCCGTTCTCATCCTCATTCTCTTCGTCGTCTTGCTTCTCCCTCGTCCTTCTCCTCGTCCTGCTCGTCCTGATTCTTCTGCTTCTGCTCCTCATTCTCCTGCTGCTCCTCCTCCAGCCTCCGGCTCTTCTTCTTCCACTTTCTACATCGTCGGTAGGGCGGGCTGGACCTTGTCGCCTCCCCCCCACCGCTTATGATTCTTAATGTTTACGTTCCCAACAGCTACAAGGATTGGGGTGATTATCACAAATTGGCTATCGCCTTAGCGCCGCGCGCATTCGTCTCCAACCTTCGCAGCAATTGCAGGATGCAGGGGGGTAGTTTTCAAACTGTGGTTATCGTGTTAGCGCCGCGGACATCCGTCTTAACATCTCGCAGCAATTTCAAACATGGAGGGCTGCTCCTTTCCAAAATGAGGCTCTCGCCATAGCGCCTTTCACATTCGTGTTAAACGTTCGCAACAACTACAGGGATGGCGCGGTACGTTTTCACAGTGGGGCTTTCGTTTATGACGTCCGCAGATGTACAGACCAGAAGCTTGAGCATACGTAACGTAACAGGTTCAGAGATGAAGGGTGGTTCTCTTTCAAGGTTGAGTTCACGCTTGAGACCTCCTCAAATTGAATTGCCAGAGTTGTGATCTGGTGCAGGAGTGACACGGATGGGGGTCGGTTCCTTGTCAACGCGGGGTTTTAGCTGGAGAATTCGTTCAACTTGGTGACCATACCTTCTCGCAATCCTTACCGCCCGCCGGAAGGATGCAAGGCAGTTACTTTTCAAAACGGGGTCATCGTTGTGTTTAGCGAAGTCCCCAAACAGTGCTGGCACTTAGGGTGTCTTGTTTGTCTTGCAAGGAACCCGGGCTCGTGTGCCGCTCTGGCCGGCTTGTTCTCGCCCCGTCAACGCCCCGTGGCCGCTCGTCGCCGCATGTCGCCGCCTCGTCGCGGGCTCGTGTGCCATCCAGGCCAGGTTGTGGTCGCCTCGTCGCCGCCCCGTCGCCGCTCGTCGCCGCCCGTCGCCGCCTCGTCGCCGTTCATCGCCGCCACCTCGTCGCATTGCATTGCACTGCAATCGCATTGCGTCGCACTGCAAGCGCTTAGCATTGCAATCGCAGTGCAATCGCATAGCATTGCAATCGCATTGAAATCGCATTGCATTGCAGTGCTCTGCATTGCTTTGTATTGCTCTGCATTGTGCCACATAGCTCACACCACATATGTTCCACTGCGTAGCTTGCACCGCTTGAATTGCACTACGCAGCGTGCACTACATAGATCACAACACATGTTCTGCAGCACAAATATTGCACTACATAGCTCACACCCCATAAATCGGACAACACACACACATATATATGTGTATATATATATTGCGCCAAATAGCTTACACCACTTTGTTTACACCGCCTAGATGAGCACGTTGGCTCCGCATAGTTTGCACCACACTGCTTACACCGAATAGCTCGCACCACATATTGCACTGCATAGATTGCACAGCTTGGATTGCACTGCGCAGCTTGCACCATACAGATCGCACCACACGGATGGCACCACACATATTGCACTACATAGCTCACACCCCATAGATCGCACTACATAGATTCTCCTTGCTAAAGAGAGAATAGCCTCTTCCACCCTGGATTATCCCATCTCCTTTTCGTATTGCAATTTACGTATGATTCTGCCCCATCGTCCATCATACATATGAACTCACACCGTCCCAGCCGAGTCGGCATCCGCCCCCCACCGCCCCCTCTGCAAAAAAGCTATGCGCGCAAACTCGCTTATCAAAAACCAACAGTTTTCGATATTCCCTTGCAACAGATGAGACGAAGTGCGCACGCGTCGCGCGCATTCCGAAATCCTTCGAACACCTTTATGGTTCCGTACGGATTTCAAAACCAAGCGCCCCAACAACGTATAAAAACACAGGGTTTCGCAACACGGAGTTCCAATAAAAGCTTGCGCGCGCGCCCTCGCGAATTCGTAAGAAAACCATATGTTTGTTTTCATAATTTCCAAAAATGCTACCAAGCGGGCTTCGCGAGCGCATGTCGAAATCTTTCGAACGCCTTTGCGCGTGTGTCGTCGCGAGAATCCATTGCACATAATGGGCCGAACTGCGCGCGCGCGTTGTCGATCGCGCGTGCCGAAATCTTTCAAACCCCGTAGGTTTCGTTAGGATTTCAAAACCGAGTGTCCATACAAAGATATAACACACATGGTTTCGCAACACCAGTTCTCCAAAAAGCGTGCGCTCGCGCTCTTGCGACTTCTTAAGAAAGCAGTATTTTCAACATTTTCATGGCATTCTGCCATACGGTCCTCTGGCGACGCATGTCGAAATCATTCGCACGCCCTTGCGCGCGCGCGCTGCGAGGGCACGATCCGTGTCAAATCATATCATGCGGCCGCGCGCGCATGTCGGATTCTTTCCAAAGCCTTCACCACCGACGCGAGGACGCTGTCATCGTCGTCGGCGTGGTCAGCATCCGCGCCGTCATTGTCCGTGCCGTCGTCGCTGTTAGCATCGTCGCCAGCATCGTTACTATTATCACCGTGTCTACCGTTGCCGACGTTGCCATGATACCGCGCCCGCCCAAGTCCGCTACTCGCACTGAAGTTCCCGCTGGGTTGTGCACAGCGGTCAGCGCCACCGCGGCTGCGTCGGTCGCGCCAAAGTAGTTTGCCGTTGCGCGCGTGTGCATGCGCGGGCTGTCGTGGCCGCAGAGATGCACCAGCCAGCGCCGAACACTCATCGCAATCGCCTCTCCATGGGGCTTTCAAACCAAGTTGTGGCTGGGTGGGTGGGATGTTTGCGCGAGCAGTGGGGTGGACAATTTCAAGTTGAGCATTAGTGGATTACACCACGAATATTGCACCACATAGCTTGCACCACATAGCTTGCACCACATAGCTTGTACCACGTAGATTGCATCACCGAGTTTGCTAGAAACTATTGTTTGGGGCCCACGCTTGCCCACATGGCAGGCTTGCAAGGGTTTATGAGGACGGGACTTCGGGCGGAATGGTCTATTGCAGCATCGTTCACGCATCTTGGGTTTACTCTGGTGCTCCTCCTCCTCCTCCTCCTCCTCCTCCTCTTCCTCCCCAGGAGCCGGCCCCCCTCCGCAGGGGCACGGTGTCGTATCCTGGCACCGGCGCTACCTCAAGCGGAGGGCACACTGTCAGGGAACTGGCCCAAGTTGGCGGAGACAAGCAGGCGGCCGTTGTTTTACGTGGTGGAGGGTTCGACTCCCTCTCATCACGTTTGTTTATTTGAGGTCAGGTGTGGCACATCTTTGCCCTCTTGGGTCTGCGTAGCTGGCCCGCAGGATCAGGGTCGGCGCAGCGGGATCCGCGGAATCAGGGCCTGTGTCGTCTCCAGAGGCGAGGATTTCGATTCCTCGCAGCACCACCGGAGCGGCACACCGCCTCAAGGAAGGCGGCCGCGAGTGGGCCAGGCGACTTGCCCTTGTCCCGCTCCGTCGCACTTATTTGCCTAATTGCTCCCTTCGGGGATGCGACTTCCGTTGTCGCTCATGCGCAGTTCCCACAGTTCCCCAGGAGCCGGCCCATGGCTGGTCCTGTTCTCCTCGTCATCCTCCTCCTCCTCTACTCAGGTCCTCCTCCTTCTATGGCTCTCTTGCGGGGCGCTAGGCTCCATGGGCTTGGTGTGGTGGCGACCTATGCGGAAAGCCGCTTCCTCAATGGGCCCTCTGTCAGGCTCCCTGGGCTGTGGGCCCCAAGGTTGGAAGATGGACACCCTGGTCTCAAACACGATGTAGTCTTTCCGCCTGTATTGTGAGGTTCTCGGGGTCGCCCTTATTCCGGCTGGTTCTTGAAGTATCGGTGGCGTCGTTTCTGCTCCAAGGATCGGGTTGATTTTCAAAGACCCTGCCACCGTGGCCGACGATCAAGATCGCGGTCAGGATTGGGATTTAAGGTTTTCTTCCCAACCTGCACTTCCAACCAGGTGGTGTTCTCATGCCGCCGCGACTCTGAGTTGTGCGCTCTGTCCTTGCAGGATTTGCCTGCGCTTCAGATATTTGCTGGAGCGCTGTTTTAGAGTTTTGTTGTTTCGATTGGTCGGGCTCCTGCAGCCGTCACGAGCAGAACACTCCGCGCGGGTGGATCTCAGGGTCCCATTGAGTCCAAAGTAGGCTGTGCGAGGTGGAGTGCTCGCTCCCAGATTTTTGCCAGGTGTGCCAAGTGGCCCTAAGGACGGCTTTCCACAGGTGCTTCGCGTGCGATGCCCGCCGGGCCTGGCGTCGAAATGTCTTTGAAAGACATCTCGTGCCAAGCGGCGTTCGCGCAGGAGGCGCCGCGCTACTGGCCAGGGGTCGTGCGACCCTGCGCGCAGAAACATATTGGATGGACATGTTCTGCAGGATGGTCAGCCGAGAGAGTTTCTCAGGTAGCTAGCAGCAGCGGCCAGCCACATCGCTAAACGTCCTGAGGTTTAGGGGGGGGGGTCGCCTGATGTCTCATCCCCGACCCTGGCCAACGCACTGCGAGGTTGCCTCTCGACCCATGCTGGCTACTGCGCGTCACGAATCATCTGCAGCTCCCCGCCCTCTTAGGAGGTGGCACAGTCATTACTGACGGGTCGGGTCTAGACCAGCTGCATATTATCCTTCGCGTAGCGGGCTGGGCACCTGTGCGTCTCGATGCTGGCAAGAATTCGCTGGTGCCCTGTGCAGAGGGTCTCCCCCTGAGTTCGTCAGGGCTGGATCGGCCAGAGACGGGGGATACTGTGCAGTCTGCATGGTGTCGCAGCATGTGCTCGGTGCCTCTCAGGTTCACACACGCTGTGACGGCGCGTCAGTGTGCAGCTGGTCAGTCAAACCCTCGATTCGGCCCTGGGCCCCTCGGGCCCACCTATGGAAACACGTCCGTGGTCTGGAGGACCTCGCGGACGGGCTCTTCTCACATGTTAAGGCCCACGCCTCCGCCACAGACGTTCAGACTGACCGCTTTTCGACATTTGAGCGTCATTGGGATTGCGCGGCGGACCGATTTGCCAAGAAACGCGCGGCCTTTGGCTTGGCCGCTCGCGTTTGGAGGGCGCCCCGTTTCTAGAAGGGCGCCGCCACATTGCCCGCTTGGCTTGCACGTTTCCAGCGCGGCTGGCGGCCAGATCGGGCCCCTGCGACGTGGACGACCATGTCGGAGTGAGCCTCTCGGGAATGATGGACCCTGGGGACTGTCCGCCAGAGCCATTCGTAGAAGAAGGCCTTGGCGACGAGCCCACCCCCTCGGCCGCCTCTGAGCCTTCTGCCACTCCTGCTGGCGCGGCTGTTCCTCCTCGAGCCAGATGGCTCCCAGCTCTCCTCCTCCTCCTCCTCCTCCTCCTCCTCCTCCTCCTCCCAGCTCCTGGCAGCCCTGGGCCGTTCATGCATTAACCCGCCTAGTAAGGCTGGCAGCCCTGGGCCGCCCTTGCTCCTCCTCCTCCTCCTCCTCCTCCTCCTCCTCCTCCTCCTCCTCCTCCTCCTCCTCCTCCTCCCAGCTCCTGGCAGCCCTGGGCCGCCCTTGCATGCTTGCCACTTCGGCCCATCCTCAGCGACTTCGCCTGGCCAGCCTCGCGCTCAAAACAGCGTTCCCGCCGCCCTCCAGGGCCCCGGCATCCTGACCGCGCATCCTTAGAGCATACGTCAGGCAGTGCCAAGGGGGGTCACCACTGGGGGGGTCGCCAGCTTCTCCTGGAAATCGAGGTTCCAGGATGGAGAGTCGAGGGGTCGAGGATGTTCTTGGACGTTTCGTTGCGTTTTCGGGGCTCTGGGGGGCCCAGTTCCTCGAGGAAGTCTCGAGGAAGTGGCGCTTCCTCGAGGAAGTGGCGACCCCCCTAGTGGTGACGCCCCTTTGCACTGCCCCAATACGGCTTGACTGTCTCTTGCCCGACGTGTTGGCAGTACCGACGGCCCACGCTTGGGCAGCGAGGGCTCCTGGAACTCTGCCTGGGGGGGCAGGCGTGCGCGCGGCAGCGAGGGCTCCTGGAACTCTGCCTGGGGGGGCAGTGCCCGACGGCCCACGCTTGGGCAGCGAGGGCTCCTGGAACTCTGCCTGGGGGGGCAGGCCGACGATGGTGCGCGCGGCGTGCGCGGCGCGCACGCCCCCCCCCCCCTTGCGGGATTTCGCTCCGCGGCGGCCGGCGTGGCAGCCGCCGCGGGGTGGCACGCCCGCGCGAGCTGGCCTCCGCACCCTGGGAGTGGCGGCCGTCGGCCTGGCAGTCCACGAAGGCCTATGCCGCGGGTTCGTGTCGCCGTCGCCGTCGCCGTCGCCGTCGCCGTCGCCGTCGCAGTCGCCGCCGCCGTCGCCGTCGCCGTCGTCGTCGTCGTCGTCGCCGTCGGCGGCGGCGGCGGCGGTGGCCCTGCTCCTCCGCAGCCGCCCCCACCTGCTCGACGCAGCCCGTGCGCTCCCCCGCCCCCCCGCTTGGGGCCCAGCTCGGTGGTTCAAAGATGGGGTCCTGAAGGATGGGGTCCTTAGGACGAGGTGCCTCAGGGAACGTAGATCCATCCTTGATCCCTTCTTATCCTCAGGTCGGCGTCATCCTAACATACTTGTACTATATGTGCGTTGCCCCTTCAGGGGCGACGCGCGCACCGAGAAATCTTATGGTATATGCGTCGTGGCGGGCGCTTTCTGGTCACACAGCTCGGGAAACGATATACTACAAGATGGACGTGCTACATGTTCGGGTCGGACGCGCGCCTCCAGGGAGGACATGTAGTATTGGTATGCCTCTGTGAATCCCTTTGGGTCCCTTCCTATCCTCAGGACCCCATCCCTCAGGACCCCATCGTTGATGCACCAGCTCGATCTTGGTGGCCCCGGGCGGCAAGGTCCTGGACGGTCTGAGCCGCTGCCCCTGCCAGGCGCGTGGTTCCCGAGGTTCGGGGCGCGATCCGCATGGCGGTTGAGCTGTGGGTCCGGGGCAATGTTACTCGGAGGAGGAGGAGGAGGAGGAGGAGGAGGAGGAGGAGGAGGAGGAGGAGGAGGAGGAGGAGGAGGAGGAGGAGGAGGAGGAGGATAGGAGGAGGAGGAGGAGGAGGAGGAGGAGGAGGAGGAGGTGTGTTACCACTCCGACATCCTTCCCTAGTTTTCGCCGTTTTGGGCCTCCTCGGAGGCCCTCGTCGCCACCGCTGGATTCGCCTGGTAATTCTGGTTGGATCGCACCCCTAGAGAGGTCCAGGGAGTGGCGGTATCGGTACCTTTTGGTTTCTCCAGTTGCGGTCGGGACCTTTTGGATAGCACGTGGCTCAGTCGGTTCTGGCCCACCGCGCTTCGGCGCGGCACGCTATCCACGTCGCGGTCCCCATGCGTCCACGTGCCGCGTCGTTTTGCCGTCGTCGTTGTCGTCATCGTTTTGCCGTCGTCGTCGTCGTTGTCGTCGTCGTCGTCGTCGTCGTCGCCGTCTTTTGTTTCGTCGTCGTCGTCGTCGTCGTTGTTTTGCTTTCGTCGTCGTCGTCGTCGTCGTCGTTTTGTCGTCGTTGTCGTCGCCGTCGTCGCCGTCGTCGTCGTCGTCGTCGTCGTCGTCGTCGTCGTCGTCGTCGTCGTCGTCGTCCTCGTCTTCGTTTTGCCGTCGTCGTCGGTGTTTTGCCGTCGCCATCGTCGTTGTCGTTTTGCTGTCGTCGTCGACGTTTGGCCGTCACCGTCGTCGTCGTCGTCGTCGTCGTCGTCGTCGCCGTCGTCGTCGTCGTCGTCGTCGTCGTCGCCGTCGTCGTCGTCGTCGTCGTCGTCGTCGTCGTGTCGTCGTTGTCGTCGTCGCCGTCGTCGTTGTCGTCGTCGTCGTCGTCGTCGTGTCGTCGTCGTCGTCGTCGTTGTCGTCGCCATCGTCCTCCTTTTGTCGTCGTCGTCGTCGTCGTTTCGCCGTCGTCGTCGTCGTCGTCGTCGTAGTTGTTTTTCCGTGTCGTTTTGCCGTCGTCGTCGTCGTCGTCGTCGTCGTCGTCGTCGTCGTCGTCGTCGTGGTCGCCCAGGTGGGCGCGCGGCGGGGCCGCGACCTTCGCGGGCTCCGGCGCGCCGCCGCGGGCGTCCTCCGCAGCGCACGCGCCGCAGGCGGGCCGCTTCGCGGGCGCCTCCGCGGCCGACGCCTGCGGCGGCGGCGGCGACGTCGTCGACGACGACGTCGACGGCGGGTGCCCTGGCGGCGGCGGCGAAGGACAGCGGCTGCGGCAGTGACGACGGCGATGGTGGCGGCGAGGACGAGTGGGGGCGATGACGGCGGCGACGACGGCGCCGGCCACGACGACGACGACGACGGCCACGACGGCGACGGCGACAATGACGGCGGTGGCAGCGGCGATGGACAGCGGCCTCGGCAACGCCGACGACGGCGGCGGCGACGACGAAAGGCTGCGACGGCGACGGCGGTGGCAGCGCATCGGCCTCGAGGAGAAACGGTGGCGACGAAGGACTCGAACAAGAGAAAACGGCGTATCAAGAACCTTCGGAGGTTCGCGTGGATTTCTTGGATCAGCGCTGGGCCCCCTTGGGCGGCGCCTCTGGTGCCACCCCTGGCGCGTCCCGCGCGCTAGGAAGGGGTGTCAGCGCCGATTTAAGAAATATGCGCGGAGTTTTGAAAGTTTATGTGTATGCAGTATCTGGTTCCTTAGAACGCTGCGAGCCCCGACGCTCAGAGTCTGGCCAATGTACAAGGAGGAGGGAGTGTGAGGAGGGAAGGGGTGGAGGTGCAGGAGGCAGGAGGAGGTTGGGAGGAGGAGGAGGAGGAGGAGGAGGAGGAGGAGGAGGAGGAGGAGGAGGAGGAGGAGGAGGAGGAGGATAATAATAATGATAAGAAGAAAAACATGATAATAAGAAGAAGGAGGTTGGGAGGAGGAGGTTGTGAGCAAGAAGAGGTTGGGAGAAAGAGGAGGAAGAGAAATAATATGAGGATGAGGAGGAGGAGGAGGAGGAGGAGGAGATTGAGGGAGGAGGTTTTGAGGAGGAGAAGGAGGAGGAGGAAGAGGAGGACCAGTTGGATGAGCAGCAGCAGCAGCAACACCAGGAGCAGGTTGAGAAGGAGGAGCAGGCGGGAGCCCGGACCTGTCCATACTGGCCACGAGTGTCGAGCTGGACTCGTTCACGAGGGTGAAGAAGGCGATTGACGACATGATCTCCATCCTGAAGGCTGCCGGAAGTCCTCGGACCTCCCGGCATCGCGTAGTGTCACGACCGCCTGTGTTTTCGATGGTTGTGGGCCCCAGGAGGCCCGTCGCGGGGCCGGCGGCGAGAACTGGTCCCTTGGGTGGGTCCTCCAGTCGTGATTCTTCCTTGTTGTGCTCCTCTTCTTCTTATCCTCACGATCTCTGTCTCTAGAAATTCCAGACATTCAAGAATTCCAGAAAACCATGGAAATCCAGAAATTCCCCAAATTCCAGGACATCCAAGAGTTCCAGACCTTCCATAAATTCAGTAAATTCCAGATATTCCAGAAATCCAAAGAAATCCAGAAATTCCAGAAATTCCAGAAATTCCTGAGAATAGCGCCCCGCCGGGGGCTCGCACCGCCTCTTCTTCTTATCCTCACGTTCTCTGTCTTCCTTTTCCTCCTCCTCCCCCCGATCTTCGGGGACGTGACCGCACCTTGTCGGCCACCCGGCCCTCCTGGAGGCCAGCGCGCTTGGCGGGCCCTGCCGAAGGGTCGCCTCGCTGCGATGGCAGACTCGTTCGTTCGGTCGTTCCTCCTGATCTTCTGCTGTGGTATCGGTATCGTTTAACCAGTCCCCATCCCCATCCCCATCCCCTTCGAGACCCCCGCCAAATTGCCACCCCAGTTGGGGATACACCCTTCGAAACCCCAAGGGAACGGCCTATATCCCCATCTAGGGGGGTAAATCGGCCAGTGGGGCGATGGCAAACTCGTTCGCTCGCTCGTTCCTCCTGATCTTCTGCTGTGGTAGCCATCTTGGCGTAAGGCTCAGTCGGAGGTTGCTAGACCTCCTACCCTGACCCTGACACGTCGATTGGCGAATTGGCCGTTCTCGGTTCGCGAGAGGGCGTCGCGGCCGTCATTCTTGCGGGTCCAGGTCCGTCGGTTTCGGTCCTAGGCCGTTTTCACTAAAGGGTGGTTTATTAAAGGGAGGTTTGTCCACCGCCGAGTTCGCTCTTTCGTTCCTCCTGATCTTCTGCTGTGGTAGCCATCTTGGCTCAAGGCTCAGGGGCGGCCTAACCGACACCTGGCAAACCAGCCCCTTCCGTGACATCCCCCTCGCCGCGCCCTGAGACGTGTGTATGCGGACGGAGGGAAGCTTGAAAGGCGAGGGTGACGGAAGCTTGAAAGGCGGGGGTGACGTCACGGGTGTGTGTGTGTGTGTGTGTGTGTGTGTGTGTGTATGTGTGTGTGGTTTGCTAGGGGTCGGTCAGGCCGCGCCCGAAAGGCCGTCCACCCTCGCGGATGTCGGTCCTGCCCCAACGGGTCTGCAGTCGTTCGGCCCCAGCCCGTCGGGCGCCCCCCCAAGAAGTTCCAACAGAGCAGCGGTGGCACGGCGGCTGCCGGCGTCATCCCTTCGGATTTCGTTGCCAGGGCCCAGTATGCGTACCACGTGGGCGCCAAACACCGTCTCTACTGGACGGCATCGGTCATGATCTTGCTGCAATCGCTCTTCGGCAGGCTGTTGCTCCCCTGCGAGGTGAGCACCTGCATGGTACTCTGCTGCACGATGAGCTCCTGCACGATGTGCGTCCTCCCAATGTCTCTAGTCTAGTGTTTCGCTAGTGAAGGTCTTCCTGGTGTCGCTCTTTTGCACGGTGAGGTTCTGCACGGCGATGACGGTGGTGGTCTCGCAGGTGGCGCTCCGCTGAACGTAGCGCCCCGCAGTTGCGGATAAGAGTGAGGTGGCGGCGGGGACGTCGGTAGTCTGCGAGGCTCTGAAGAAGCCCGCCGCAGGCGCAGAATTCCCACAAATCTTCATTCTCATTCTGTTGTTCTGCGCCGCCAGTGGTGCTCTTGGTGGTATCGTGGTACCGTCTGAGCTCACCCGCCTGCGTAACGATGCTGGTGATGAGCTCGTTGGCGTCGCTCTTCTGCATGGTGTCTTTCCTCATCATCGTGCTCGTATTGCTGTCCATTACGTTAGTTGTCATGAATTACGGAATGACGCTGGTAATGCATTAACCGGTGTCGTTTTTCTGCATGGTTCCATTCCTCACCATGCTGTTCGAATCGTTGGTGGTGACCACGCCAGTGCGGAATCACTTGACGTTAGTGGCGCCAGTGATACACTCGCTGGTGCCGCTGTTTGGCATGAAGTCCTTGTTCTCCATGGTGTTCGATTTAACTGCTGGTGATGACCACGGCAGGTGCCGCTGAACTACTGAATGACGCTAGTGATGCACTCGTTGGTGTCGCTCGTCTGCGAGTGTCCTTTCTCCTCATGGTGTGAAGACCACGCCAGCTGCTGAGTGACTGAATACTACCACACACGCTGGTGTAGCTCTTCGATATTGTGTCCTCCCTCCTCACAGTGTTCTCACTGCTGGTGATGACTACGCCAGGTGTTGCTGAGTGCAGCTGGTGATGCACTCGACGGTGCCGCTCGTCTGCACGGTGCCATTCCCCCCTCGTGCCGCCCCGAGTTCCAACGAATCGCTGCGAGGACCCCGCCAGGTGCTGCTGAGTCACTTCCATGGCGCTGGTGATGCATTCGCCATCTTCGCCCTCCGGGCTCTCCGCATGCCGCGGCTTCCCGTGGCGAGCTCCTTCCCGCGCGATGGTGGGCCGGCCTCGGCGGAGCTTCGTGCGGGCGTGCCCGCCTTCGGCCTCCGCAGGCCTGACCTCTGTTCGCTCTCCTGGCCTCCTGGCCCGCTCGCTCCCCAGCCGATGCTTGAGATGACGTCGGGCCCGTCCCCCTACAGGGGGAATTTCCAAAAATAGTATAAAAAACATATGAGGATGATCTTCTGGATCAGTTTTAATTATTTTTGGGGTATCGTTTGGTTATTTTTGACTTTCCGTCCAAAATCCCCCTGTTGGGGGACACGCCCGACCTAAGCTTAAGACTCGCCGCAACTTTGCTGTGGGCTGAGGCGGGTGGGGACTTGGTTCGAAGTCAGATTTGGCTGCGCTAACACGTTCACAGAGTAGATCGGCGTCTACTCCTCGCAGATGGACCACGGATTCGGAGTCAATCCAGGCTCAAGCCGCTGCCGCATCTGCAAGTGGTTCTGATGACGCACATGTGAGATGCAGGGCTCGACTTGGACGGTGGTTCGGCGAATCCGATTGCTGTTTTCGTTTTGGTTTCGTTTTTGCAGCAAGGGCGGCACGAAGACAACACGAGGGAAAACGGAAACATTGTTTAGGCCGAGCCCTGCTGAAATGTTTGTATGACGATTCTGCCCTGGAGACGTTCATTTTGTTTTACTTTTGGCGGATTTTGCTCAGGTCCCCCTCGTGATCCTCCTTTCCCCTCCCTTCCTCTCCCCCATTCGCCCTCCCTTCCTTGCTCTCCCTTCTCCTCTTCCTCCTCTTCTTCCTTCTCCCCTTCCTTGCGCGTACCCGGACAATCCAGATTCTCGAGGCCACGGCTTCGCCCACCTGGTCTGAGCTCGGCCCGGGCGCTGTCCACAACGGTGGTCGCATCGCATCGCGTCCCCTCCCTTATTTCTCCCAGCCGCGCTCCCACGGGAAGCCCGAGCAAGAAAGCGGGCCCGCGAAACTCCCGCCAGGAATGCCTCCCGCTCCTCTTTCTCCTCCTCCTCCTCCTCCTCCTTCTCCTTTTCCTCTTCCTCCTCCTCGCCTCCTCGTCCCTTTCCTCCTCCTCCTCCTCCTCCTTCCCTCCGGCTTCTGCTTTCCCTTCCTCCGTCCGCCTCCTTCTCCACATCAAAACCACCAGGTCCAGCAGACCGACGAGGTCAAGAAAAACGATTGGTGCACCAGCCAGATACATGAGAACGAGATGGAGGCGTCGAGAACCGACGCCTTGCAGTCTGACCTGTCCTCCAAGGCCGACGATCTCGGCCAACGTGTTGCCCAGCTGGCGGAAGATGTCGCTGCCGCGAAGAAACACATCCAGCAGCTGCATATCGACCTTCAGGCGGCCAGCGAGAACAGAAGGAAGGAAAACATAGACTTCCAGCACACCATCGCCGACCAGAGGGCGGTCCAGGCGGTGCTCAGGGAGGCCCTGGACCGGCTGAAGAAATTTTACGACAAGTCGCTCCTCCAGACGAGGACGGAGTGGCGAGCACGGGGGCTTACTGGGTCGGGGGTCGCCCTTCTAAGAAGACCCCCTGGCGCGGCCGCCGCCTCCGTCGCCGCCGCCGCTGCCGATGCCGCAGTCGCCGGCGCCGCCGCCGCCATCGCCATCGCCGCCGTTGTCGCGGCCGCCGTCGTTGTGGTCGTCGTCCTCCTGGTCGCCGCCGCCCCGTCTTTGGAAGTCACGATCTGCATCCCTCCAGGAAGCTCCGCCTGCCTCCTCGGGATGCTGCCCCCCCAAAACCTTGGCACCCTGTGCTCGCCCTGTGCTCGCCGTCGGGAGGACCAGGGCTGTGGACAAGCACGCGGCCGCGGGCATGGTCGGGGGACGCCAACCACCCGCAGGCACTGGTCCTGGCCAGGCCGGTCATGGGACTTCGATCGGTGTACCGATGGGAGGGGCACTCTGGCCAGGCCAGGAGTGCATGCCCACCGACCTGGACCCCGGACAAGCCCTGTCCAGGATCGGTGCAGGCGGGCATCAGACTCGGTACCCCTCTCGAGAGATCGCAGGTACGATGGGACCCCCCATGGGCGCACGCAGCGGCGAAACGACGACGGACGATGACGACGAGGAGACGACGGTAGACGACAGACGACAGACGACCGCTGCAAGGACGAAGGTGACGACGACGACGACGACGACGACGACGACGACGACGACGACGACGACGACGACGACGACGACGACGACGACGACGACGACGACGACGACGACCACGGCAGCGGCGGCGGCGGCGGCGGCGGCGGCGGCGGCGACGGCGGGCGGCAAGGGCTCGTCCTCGCTCGGGGCGGCGCTGCTGACCGCGCTGGCTGCGAGGCGACAGGAGCCGACCGTTCCTTCCGCCCCGGCATGCGCAGGGCGCCCTGCTGCTGTTGAGCTCCCACTGCTGAAGCACTTGTTCCTGCCCCCTGCCGGGTGCCCACTGTGTGGCTTTTGCAAGTTGACGGACCCCCGCCCTGCCAAGTCGAGCAGCGGGTTGCCCTCCTTCGATCCTCCAGAGGGCGTTGCGGCCGATTTTTGTTGCGAGTCTGCGCCCCGTGGGTCTGGTCCCGTGCTGTTTTTCCCAGCCGTCCTGTGGTGTTGGGTCCTCGTTTTGCAGAAGCAGCGCCCCGCGTTCTCCTCTCCTCCTCCTCTTCCCCCTCCTCCCTCCTCCCTCCTCCCATCCCTCCTCCCTCCTCCCTCCTCCCTCCTCCCTCCTCCCTCCTCCCTCCTCCCTCCTCCCTCCCCTCCTCCCCCCCCTCCTCTCCCTCCTTCCCTCCTCCTCCCTCTTCTCCTTCTCCTCTCCTTCCCCCTCTGCCCTCCGCACCAAGTGCAGCGCTTCGTGGACCCATAGGGAGCTCCACCGAAGGCCCCAGTGGCAGCGCCCGCATGCAGTTCCACCCTCCATCTCGGTGCACCCCTCGCACGCTGCGTGGCCCCGTAGGGAGCTCCACCGAGGGCCCCAGAGGCAGCGCATGATGCAGTTCCACCCTAAATTTTGGCACACTCCTCACACGTTTCGTGGTCCCACAGGGGGCTCCACCGAGGGCCCCAGTGGCAGCGCCCGCATGCAGTTCCGCCCTCCGTTTCGGCACGCCCCTCACACATTTTGTGGCCCCATAGGGAGCTCCACCGAAGGCCCTCAGTGTCAGCGCCCGCGTGCAGTTCCACTCCAATTTCGGCGCACCCCTCACGCGCGCCGTGGCCCCGTAGGGAGCTCCACCGAGGACCCAGTGGCAGCGACCGCATTCGGTTCCACCGCCATTTCGGCACACCCCGCACACGTTTCGTGGCCCCATAGGGAGCTCCACCGAAGGCTCCAGTGGCAGCGCCCGCATGCAGATCCACACCCCATTTCGGTGCACCCCTCACACGCGTCGTGACCTCATAAGGGAGCTCCACCGAAGGTTCCAGTGGCAGCGCCCGCATGCGGTTCCATCCACAGGGAGCTCCACCGAGGGCCCCACAGGCAGCGCCCGCATGCAGATCCACCGGCTATTTCGGCACGCCCCTCACACGCTTCGTGGCCCCATAGGGAGCTCCACCGAGGGCTCCAGTGGCAGCGCCCGCATCGAGTTCCACCCTCCATTTCGGCGCACCCCTCACACGCGTCGTGGCCCCATAAGGAGCTCCACCGAAGGCCCCAGTGTCAGCGCCCGCATGCAGTTCCACTCCAATTTCGGCGCACCCCTCACACGTTTCATGATCCCATTCGAGGGCTCCACCGAAGGCCCCAGTGGCAGCGCCCGCACGCGGTTCCACCCGTACTTCCACGAACCCCTCACACGTTTCGTGGTCCCACAGGGAGCTCCACTTGAGGCCCGAATAGCAGCGTCCGCATGGCGGTCCCGCCACATTTCGGCACACCCTTCACGCGCGTCGTGGCCCCATTAGAAGATCCACCGACGGCAATATTCACAACGACGGTACCCACAACTGCATTTGGTTAGGCCCTTCGCCAGTGGAAGGCGACAGTCCAAACACACATAAGAGTGGATCCTGGGAGGATGTGTGTCTGTTCATTCGTGTGTCCCTGGGCCCCGTCATTGAGGTACCCCTGTCGGCCCTCGCACCTGGTTGCTTTCTCTAAATAGGCTTGCCTATGGGAGTCTTCGCTCCGTGCCCAGAGAGCCGGTCCAGTGATATCCCCCTTTGATTTTGCCCCAAATGACGACAATGACGTCCCACCCTGTTTGGCCCCCAATGGTTGCAATGGCATCCGCTGCTATTGCAGCTCTGCTTTTGCAATGACCTCCCCTGCTGCGGTCGGACCGAAGTATAAGATCGAAGTCGGTTCTGGGAGGGTACCTTATGTTCTTCGTGTTTGTTGAACGCTCTAGTGCATCCTGGGGGAGGGCACCCTCGAATGTTCCTCAGTTTGACTGGCGGAGGGTCTCATGTTCTTGAAGGATGTTCTTCTGTCCTAGGTTCGGCCGTGTTGCAATGGCTACCTGTGGGTATTCCAATGGCGTCCCAACATTCGCCAAACAGTGATCACATTCAGAAGTAGAGTAGAGGAGAGTAGAGTATAGCAGAGTAGAGTAGAGTAGAGTGGACACGATTATAGAGTGCAAAGTAGAGTAGAGTATCGGAAAGTCAAGTAGAGTTGGAGTAGGAGTAAGAGTAGGAGTAGAGTCGAGTAGATCAGAGTTGGAGAAGGAGTAGGAGTAGAGTCGAGTAGGGGTAGAGTCGAGTAGAGTCGAGTCGAGTAGAGTCAAGCTAGCGAGCTCGAGCGAGTCAAGCATGGCATGCCCATTCCAACCTGCCCTCCCACAACATAAGGAACGCTGCTGGCACAACCAGGGGCCAAACGCCCAATACACGTAGAAGTGGTAGTAGTAGTAGTCGTCGTCGTCGTCGTAGTAGTAGTAGTAGTAGTAGTAGTCGTAGTAGTAGTAGTAGTAGTAGTAGTAGTAGTAGTAGTAGTCGTAGTAGTAGTAGTAGTCGTAGTAGTAGTAGTAGTAGTAGTAGTAGTAGTAGTAGTAGTAGTAGTAGTAGTAGTAGTAGTAGTAGTCGTGTGTTCTCATTTCTGAAGAATAATTTTTGTTGACCCCCCCACCGGTGCATATTGTTTTCCCTCAATCAAAGTGTGCCCCTCGACGCTCGCACCTTGTTTTTTGACAGGGACAGTCTTCCTGCTCAAACTGGCCCCCTGGCCCCCGGGTTACAACAACAACGGCTCCCGCTTGAGACTTCCTTACAATTTAGCCAGGACCCCCGCTCCCGCCCGGGACTTCCTCGCTTTTTGTTCAGGAATCGCGCTCTCGCTTGGGAATTCCTTACAATTTATGTAGGAATCGCTCTCCCGGCGCTCTGGAGTCGCGCTCTCGCTGGAGACGTGCTTGCAACTTACTGAAGAATGGCCTTGCTTTGGAATTTCTTGCAATTTGCCCAAGCGCCGCGCTCCCGACACCCAGGCACCCAGGAGTCGCGCCCGTTGTGGCCCCATGTGCGTGCCCTTCGTGGCCCCGCTGTCGCCATTTGTGTCCCCCTCACTGTCCTACGTGGCCCAGTTGCTACCCTCAGTGGCCCCATAGTTGCCTTCTGTGGCCCCGCATTAACTGCACTTCGTGGCCCCCGCTCGTTCGCGCTCTTCGTGGCCCCATACGCATTCCCTTCGTGTCCCCGCTGTCGCCCTTCGTGGCCTACTTCGTGCCCTTCGTGGCCCTGCTGTCGTTCTCTCTCGCACTCGCTTTCGCTCGTCGTCGCCGTCGTCGTCGTCGTCGTCTCGTCTTCGACGTCGTCGTCGTCGTCGTCGTCGTCGTCGTCGTCGTCGGTCCCCTGTCCGTCCCTCTTGGGGTCGGGTCGACGGTCCGCGGCCGCCCCGCCGATCAGCGCTGCCGCTGGCCAGGCCGACGGTCCGCGGCCGCCCCGCCGCTTGCCGGGGCCCGGCCTGCAGGGAAGAAAGGTATACCCCCAAAAGGGGTTCGATCGAAGACGAAGAGGGCGGGTATCGAGGGTTTGGGAAATACGCGTTATTGGACATTCGAGCATAATAAGGGCGAACGGTTTTTAAATTGTTTTTGTTGTTGTTGCTGCTGCTGCTGCTGCTGCTGCTGTGTTGTTGAAACATTATTTATTCTAAAGAATAATTATTGTTGGGCCCCCTGGTGCGCGCCCCCCCTGCGCCGCCTAGGCCGCAGCTACATTTTCATCATTTTCGTGAGGAAGCCTCAGAAAAGAGGGTGTGTACAGGATCCGGTTGTTTTGTTGTAATCCGCTTTCCCTTGCAAAAAAACAATAGAAAATTACATTTCTTGTTCTAATATAATCAAATTTCAAGAATCCCTTGCAAAAAATAAGGTAAAGTGGACATTCGCGCGCGCAAGACGAAATCCTTCCAAAAGCTTAGTGTTCGGAGCGATTTTAACATAAAAACATCAAAAAACCAATGGTTTTTCAACAAAAAAATGTCAAAATCTCATCCCGCGCGCTCTTGCGGATTCGTAGGAAACCCAATACTTTTTAAACATTTCTGTCAAACGGGCTTTTGCGAGCAACTTTTTCGAACTTCTGCGACAACGGTTGCGCACCTGCCAGGGCCATCATCCCTGTCAAATAATACCATGCGGGACAACGATCGGGACAAGCACAACCATCAGGACAACCATCGGGACAATCATCGGGACAACGATCGGGACAACCACAACCATCAGGACAACCATCGGGACAACCATCGAGACAACCATCGGGACAACCATATCCTCTCTCTCTTGTGTATTCCCACATCCCTCAGGAATTTGCCCTAAAGATGTGATCAACTATCTTGTGAGTACGTATCATGTGTATCATGTGTATCATGTACCATATGCATCATATGCAACAGATGTTCTGTGGAAGGCTTAACAACTTCTGTGGGTTAACAAGGCTTAACAACTTCTGTGGGTGTACGAACGTAGGCTTAACAACTTCTGTGGGTGTGTACTCCACGCCAGTGTAGTAGCCACGGTCGTCCGCAGGCCACGAAGTGAAGTGTCCGAACGTCATAGGGCGGGAAGCTGGGTGTGGGTGGTGGCGAAGAGTCGTGTGGATATTTGGTAGAGCTTGCACTGCCCCCCCACAAAGTGGGGGTATTGGCTGGCGTCGCATGCAAACCCTGGCACTGGTGAGAACACTGAGCGTTCGGGTAAAGTGATTGTTGTTGTTGTTGTTGTTGCTGCTGCTGCTGCTGCTGCTGCTGCTGTTGTTGTTGTTGTTGTTGTTGTAGTTGTAGTTGTAGTAGCAATGGAAGTAGTTGTAGCAGGAGTAACAAACGTACTAGTCGTTCTTGTTGTAGTCGTAATCGTACTCCCGAACGCAGAGTTTCTCCCAGGAAAGGGTCCCCTACCTCAGATCTGCGACGGGAGCGTCCCTGCTTCGGGATGCGTTCAGGTCGCCCCTTCGCCTCCTGAAGCGCCCTCGCGGCTACGGCTGGGTCCGCCTCGAAGTCTTGGCCAAGGCGCACCGCGGGAGCAGTCCAGAGGGGGCGGCGACGACGACGACGACGACGACTTGCCAGGAAGCTTCCGTCCGTTTTTCAGTTTCCGCGGGGCCGTCGAAAACAGCGGCTCAGGATGAGGATCTGGTCCTGGGGAAGAACACTTGCGGGGCGCCCGAGCGGGAGCGCAAGTCTCAGTCAACAATTTGCGCGGCGCCGAAAAGAAAGCGGCACTTCGCCCTTTTGCGCGAGGTATGCGTCGCGCCCCATTCTTGCGACGCATTTCGCCACACCGATGGCAGAATTTACATGATGAGAGGAAAACCGTGGGATGCAGTTGGGATGTGACCACCCAGAGCGTTATTTTCAGAGAAAATTGTATCCACCGCACGCGCGAGCGGGACCGGCGCCCGACGAAGTGGGGAGTGAGCAATGCGCGCCGCGTCCGAGGAAAAACGCAACGTCGAGTAAAATTGGAATCCCCAGAAGGCCCCAGAGGGCCCCAGGAGGCGTCAGGAAACCCAAGGGGGCCCCAGAGAAGCCCCAGGAGCCCCCAGGAGGCCCGGGGCGTCACATGATTCACCAGGAAAGTTCAGGAGCCCCCCCACCCTCCCCGAGGCCGCAGGAAGCGCCAGGAGGCCCCAGGAGGCCCGCCCAGGATGCCCCAGGAAGCCCGAGGAGCTCCGAGGGCGCCCCAGGAGCCCCCAGGAGACCCCAGGAGGCTCCGGCGCCAGGAGGCCCCAGGAGGCCCAGGAAGCCCCAGGACGCCCCAGGAACCCCCCGGAGACTTGAGGAGGCCCCAGGAAACTTTAGGAGGCCTCCGGAGGCCCAGAAAGCCGCAGGAGGCTCAAGAAGCTCCAGGAGGCTCTAAGAAGCCCCAGGAGGTTTCAGGAAGCCCAAGAAGGCCCTCAGAGGGCCCCAGGGGGCCCCAGGAGGCCCCAGGAGGCCACAGGAGGTCCCAGGAATCCTTCGGAGACCCCAGGAAGCCCCAGGAGACCCCAGGAGGCCCCGCGAGGTTTCAGGAGGCCCGAAAAGCTCCAGGGGGACACAGGAGGCCCCAGGAGGTTTCAGAAGACCCCAAAGGCCCCAGGAAACTCAATAAGCTTCAGCAGGCTTCAGTACGCACCAGAAGGCCTCAGGAGGCCTCAGGAGGTAACAGGAAGCGCCAGGTTGCCTTCGGCGGCCCTAAGGAAGCCCCACGAAGCCCCAGGAGGGCCCAGGCGCCCGACGAATTGGCGAGCGACAGATGTGCGCCGCGCTTTGGCGGGAACGCCACTCTCAGAAAACATGTGCGCGGCGCCGCAGCGAGAGCGACAATTCGCCTTTCCGCGTGGGGTATGCGCCGCGTCCCATTCCTGCCACGCATTTGGCGACGCGGGCCACAGCGTGTCCATGTTGAGAGGAAAAACATAGATTTCTCCAGGTTAGGATTGGGCCTCCAAGATTGGCGGGCCACTGGAGGCCCCAGGAGGCCGAGCCCCAGAAGATTTCAGGAGGCCCAAGGAAGCCCAGGAGGCCACAGGAAACCCCAATTGGCATCAGGAGGCTTCGGTATGCCCCAGGAAGTCCTTGGAGGCTCCAGGAAACACCAGGAAACCTCAGGAGGTTTCAGGCGGCCCCAGGAAGCCCAGGAGGCTTCAAACGCCCGACGAATTGACGAGCGAAAAATGTGCGCCGCACCTCGGCGGGAGCGCTGCTGTCAGAAAACATGTGCGCGGCGCCGAAGCGATAACGACATTTCGCCCTTTCGCGCGGGGTGCGCGCCGCGTCCCGTTCCCGCCACGCATTTCGCGACGTGAGCCACAGGATGCCCATGCTGAGAGGAAACACGTCGATATTGTATTCCCCGCATCCTAAGTGGGGTTCTTGTTTCCCACATCCTAAGTGGGTTCTTGTTTCTCACATCCTAAAGGGGGTTATTGTTTTCTCTGGACACCCCGCACAGTCCCCCTCCTCACCCCCCCTCCCTCCTCACACACTCACACACCATACACAATCACACACCATCATAATTATCCTCATCCTCATCATGGTCATCGTCATCACCATCATTACTATCATCATCGCCAACATCCTCATCACAATCATCACGCATCATCATCATGTGTACATCCTCACTCATCATCACCCACTCACTCTCTCATCCAATCACATTCTCTCTTCATTCACCCATCATCATGTCAGGATACCAACATGTCTTCGGGCATGAACGTCATCGTCGTCATCATCACCCGCGCACACCACCATCACCATCATTATCACCATCCCATCATGATCATCGACCAAGAGGGGCCTTGTCTGTGAGTGAATCGCGAGGAAGCTTCGAGTGGGAACCCTCCTTATGGGGTCCGCACTTGATGTTGGTAATCCGAGCGGGCCGTCGGATCCCTGTAGCTGATGGCACATTTCGGCTCCTTTGGATTGAATAAAAAGGACGTCTCGAGCGGGAGCTTTGTCTGTGAGTGAATTGTGAGGTCTCAGGCGGGAGCCCCCTCCCTATGGGGTCCGCATTTCATGTTGGCAATCCGAGCGGGTCATCGGAACCGTGTAGCTGTCGTCACTTTCGCCGCACATCCACGTGAGTGTTGCGTCCTGACAGTCATCAACCGTGCCATGGCACCATTCCTGGGACGTCGACACTGCGAATCAACATGATTGTCGCGTCCTGACCATCCTTAATCATGCCAGAACACCACTCCTGGGCATGCAGCCTCGCGATTCCTTACACCTGTTGCAAGCTTTGTGGGCGAATGCGCGCGGCGCTGAGGCGAGAGCCACATTAAAAAAACGTCTTGTACTCCATCCCTGAACTTGTTGCAAGTTTCAAGCTCCAGGGCCAGCAAATCAGGCGAAGCGCCTGGCCAGGCCTACCGGCACGTTTGGTGGGGCTACAGGGATGAGTTATGTACGAGGAAACTGGTGGTGGACCAGGATGAGGGGGACGAGGGGGGGAAGTCCAACTGCGTTGCAGGGATCTCTGCCTGCAGTGAGCTCGTTGCAGCCGGTCCCACTGCAGGAGCCGCCGCCGCCGCCCCAGCAGGCGGAGTACACGCCGCACGGCGGGTCGGGCGGCGTCATGGAGCCCGGCCCGGCTGGAAGCCCCTGCCTTCCCCCCCCCTCCCCTCTTTTTTCTTCCTCCTTCTTCTCTTTCGTCTCGCCAGAGTTCGTGAGAGGGCGGTCGGAGGCAGACAGTGTGGCCAGGTTCGACTGCGGGCGGCGTGACGAAAAGGCTGGGGCAGCAT